TTTTAAATCACATCACCTTTCATATAAAAAGGTCAAAATAAACTAAAAATGTCAAAAAATTAAATTTTAACCAACTTCTTAAATAATCGTGTCTCCCTATTGACGTAGTTAAGATTCATTTGCAGTGATTCATTATCTTCTTCTTATCTTTAGTTCTCTCTGATGTCACACCATTAAAAGTGAAATTGAGACTATGGGAAAATTAAGCGGATGAATAATTTTTCTTAAAAAAATTACTAAAGAAGTTGTCAAAAATGGGTTAAATGTGATACAAACGTGAGTGTGACTCATATCATATGGAGGTGTTTGAGTTTGACGTTTTTTGGTATTTTTTTTTTATTTTAGTTTTTAAAAAAGTTTTACACTTTAGGTTCTATTTGAGTAGACGGTTCAGAAAAATAATAAATGAAATAAAAAATTTGAAAAAAAAATCATTAAAGATTAAAAACAAATAGTAACTTTTTTTTTTGTGACTTTTAGCGAACTTCTTTTTGGGTTTTTTCGTATTTATTTTTTAATACTTTCTAGATTCTTCCAAACTAGACAAATCAGAAAAGTAAAAAATTTAGGCTCAAATTTCAAATTTTTTTTTAACTAAAGATGAAAAAATTAAAATTAAAAATAAAAATAAGAATGACTTTTTTAGCTGGATGCCAAACCTCCATTAGAGAGAATCTTATGATACACGCCTATTTTTAGGGTATGTATCATACATCCGATTATGTCCCTGGTGGTCTTTGGGTATTACTTTAGAGTGACTAATTATGTGACAGTTTCCGAACAAGGTTTTACACTATTCTAATTTTGATATTTGTCTTGGTGTCACCAAAGAACCAACGTCATCTTTAACGGTTCGCCAAATCCAACATCAAATTCAAATTTAATGAAAAAAAGTTACTTTTTGTGCTGTAACGGTTGCACCAAAACAGTATCAAATTGAGAAAACATCAAAAGTTTCATCAAACTGAGGACGGCTCGCTCCTTTCACAAAATCAATGTGCATAGCTGTTAAAGCAGAAATTTGTAAAAATTTTACACATGGTGGTCGACCACTCGGTTGACCAACCGGTCGACCAACTCATGCAAAAATTGGTAGGTTCAAACAGTTCAAAAAAATTAAAAAAAAAAAAAATTAGCCTAACCGGTCGACCAACCGGTTGACCCATGGGATGGCCCTTCTTTTTGATGCACCGTTAGACCAACTGATATCAGATTAAGAAAATGAGCCATTTTTTACTCAAATTTGGTGAAAAAAATACTGAACTGTTGAAGATGCTCTAACATGGCTCTATTTGGATGTTAGGTTTAGTGGCTTTTTTTTAGCTAAAATAATCAATAAAAACAAAATAAGTTAAAATAGTTAATAAGACAAAATGTTATATCCAAATTATAATAATTTCATTTTCTTTCACAACCATCAAATCAATTATATATATATATATAAAATCAACTATCATCTAAAACAAAAAAAAATTTAGCTAAATTAAAATTGCTAAATAATTAAAAATTAACTAAAATAGTTAAGTTTCTAAACGAGAAAGCCATGACTTTTCTTATTATAACCAATGAAATTCAAGTTGTGGTAACATTATTTGCCAAAAGAGTAATAAATAATTTTCCCTGCTGTATTGATGTTTTGTATGCCACATTGTGATTCAAAACAGTTGTGAGGCAACTTATATGTCAAATTACAAAAAGATGATACCTTAATGGTGTTTAGTTATGGCCTGTAGTTGTTGTTGGTTATAATTCATAATGATTGTTTTTTTGTTATGAATCTAGCAGTGTTTAGTTATGATTAATAATGCTGTTACTTATGCATCAAATTAATGGTTTAAATTCATTTTTAAAAGATCTAATAGCTAAAAATGTTGGTGTATGTAAAAAGGAGTGTGTATAATAGTTTCTTTCATTAAATTTAGGAAAAATTACAATCCAATGATAACTTCTAAAAGTAACAGATTTATGAAAAAGTTTAGGGATACTTACGTGTAGGTCCTAAGTGGACTTATTGTCTAATAAGTCCTATGAAAAAAATTTGTCATGAAAAAACGTCACTAATTATAAGTTTTAAAGACAATTTATAAAAATCATGACAAAAAAGTCACAAATTGTCAATTTTTAGCGACATATATAAAAAATTATCACAAAAAAATTATTTTTAACGACAATTTTACCGAGATTTATTTTCAATAGGACTTGATGGGAATTAAGTTCAACTATTAGGACCTATTAGTAGTTTAAGATTTTGTTATTAAAATTTGTAAACTTTATCATTGATCTATAATTTTTTCTAAAACCTGCACTGTATTGCTATTTCTCCTTAAATTTACATCACACATTTTATTTTAAAATAATTTCTCAAAATATTTTTTCAAAATTTCCAACTTTTTTTCATTATATATCCACACTAGTAGAAGTGACCAAAAAAAAAAAACAAAACAAAAACAAAACAAAAACAAAAACAAAAACAAAACAAAACACAAAAACAAATTAACAAAATCCTCCTTTTTTTCACAGCTATTATGTATACATCTATTTCACATCATATATATATAAGTATAGTGTTTTTCTTTTTTAATGTGTTACATTCTGAAGGCTTATTTTAAAAATAAAAATAAAAAGTTACATCATGTCTTTTCCATTTACATATAAAGTTCTACATAAATTTAATTTCAATTATAATAACTAATTTTATATGAACTCTATTTGAAAAATACTTATTTTCCATATATATAATTATAACTTAATTATTATGATATTTGAAAAAAAAATTATTTTTATATCTATATAATAAGATAGAATGGTTTTTGAAAATGTCCAAAATGTATCCGAGATACATTTGGTTTTAATAGTCTAGATCAATCCTAAGTATATATCAATGGTTCAGATGCATTTAATTCCCACCCAAATGCTCATCTCTCTCTCTCTCTCTCTCTCTCTCTCTCTCTACCCCACGTCTGTCCATTCTCTTTAACTCCCTCTCTAGACGTTCTCTCTCACGTTCTCTCTTCAACTCCCATTATGGTGGATATCTCTCATCACCCATAATCTTCTTCAAGGTGTTGTAGTACAGAGAAAGAGATGGGTGTTGTGTTCTAGCTTGAGATCAACCAATAGAGAAAGAGTAGATGCTGTCACTCACCACAACTACCGCTGCTCATCATCATCGTTGCCATTGATCAACATCAGTCTACTGCCATAACAACTCTGCGACTGTCCACCACCATTGAAAAGAAAGATCGAATTCAGCAAACAGCAAAAACACAATTCAACATACAGATTCATACACATACATACATAAATCAGCGTCTTCTACTTCGCTACCAACGCTGCTCGCGAACTCGGCTCCCTTAGAACTCGCACTCACAAGGTAAGATTGAGAATTGTTTTAGTTTTTTTTTTTTTTTTTTTCGCTTGAGAATTGTTTTTGCCTCTCCCCTTCTCTCTCCATTTTTGTTTTTGGAATTTCCCTTGTTGCAATTCAAACCCCAATATCGTCTTTATTTTTGATAATGGCTTCAATCTTTCAACACCAAAACATAGGTATTTTACATTGTCTCTTTATTTCTCTCTCTAAAAATTCGCTATCTTCATTGTACATTTTAAGGGTTATTTATATTGTTTATGGGTTATTTAGATTGGGCTCCATACTGTTATTGATTTGATTCTTTTGAGAGTTTATTTTAGAGTTTTTAATGATTGTGTAATGCAGAGAAATTTCCTTTCGTTCAGATCAATGTTCCAAGTAATATTGATTTTGTGTGCATGAGCTCCATACTGTTATTGATTTGATTCTTTTGGGAGTTTATTTTAGAGTTCTTAATGATTGTGTAATGCAAAGTGAAAAATCTAAAAATTCCGGAGATATTGATTTGTGATTATGTATCAATTTTAAGCAGTTAATAACAATCACAAACAAATAATCAAGACAAATCGACATGACAATTGTAATGTGGAAAAACCATAATTGGAGCGCCTCCAATTGTGATAGAAAAACCACAGGCCAAAACCACAAAACAATTCATTAAGAAAACACAAAGGAATTACACAAGTGTACTCTCAATTACCTAGCGAATCAACGCCCGAATCGAACCGACCCCTATGTGCCTCTTCCAGTCCCGTCTTTACCTCGGAATTGTCTTTCCCAAGGTTGAATCCACAATGCCGATTTCGAATCCACAACGATGAGCCACTTTGAAATCCAACAAAGCTTCAGGCCCAAATTCTCCGAAATCCACCAAAGAACAACTCTCTCTTTTGTATTGAATAAATAAAATAAATAAACCCTTTGATATAATCCACTCAATTCATGATGTAAACTCTCACAAATATCAAAGAAAACAAGTAAAGAAACTTTAGAAGAAAACCCTAATATCCAAAAAAAAAAGATCTAGAAGTCGTACCCTAAAACTTGACTGAACCGCAACTTTTATAACAAACAGATTTGCGATCTCCGCTCGAGCGCAAGAATGAGCGCTCGAGCGGAGTGACTAAAATGCGTGTGACTAAGCAAGGTCTACACTTGAGCACAGGAATGGCAGCTCGAGCAGAAAAAAAACAACTCCCAATACTTTTGCAAGCAAATGAAACTTCTAAAACATCTCTACAAGGCACAATTCGGGTTGGATTCGCATCTAAAAACTCATAACCTCACTGAAATAAAAGTTGAATAAAATTATAACTAAAAAGAGTTTTGTCAAACAGGATTGCCAATAACAAAAACCTAACATAGAGGAATTTCCTTTCATTCAGATCAATGTTCCAAGTAAAATTGTTTTTAATGATTGTTTTAATGAGCAAACACTTTGGGTGTTTTTCAAGTTTTGTTTAAGTTGTTTTAAACTCTTAATTCATCTGTTTTTAGTTCTTTCTTTCTTTCTTTCTTTCTTTATTTTTTTTTAAGTTTATGTGTTTATTTATTTTTGGGGTTCTAATTTTTAAGTTGTTGCTTATAACTTTTCCTTTTTGGTTCTAATTTTTGGGCTAGTTATAGGATTATGAAAAAGTTGGGGCACTTGCAAGGTCAATTAGGAAGATGGAATAGTGAAGTGTTTGGTAATGTGGATGAAAATTTGAAAAAAGCTGAGGATGAATTGCATGAGTGGGACCTAAAGGCTGAGTCCAGAGAATTGCAGGAGTTTGAGAAAAGTTGCAGAAGAGAGGTGCTAAGTTCAGTTTGGGACCTGAAGAGAAAAAAAGAAAACATGTGGCAGCAAAAATCCAAGTTGCTTTGGGCTGAAAATGGTGATAAGAATTCAAGGTTTTTTCACATGGTGGCTAGCAGAAGACAGAGGAAAAATTTACTTGATTCTGTGGCAGTAAATGGGTCTTTGGTGGTTCAGCTAGACTTGGTTAACCAGGTAGTGGTGGATTTTTTCAAGAAGTTGTTTTCAGAGGAGTGGGAGAGTAGGCCTACATTAGTTGGTATAAGTACTAAAATAAGTGAAAAAGCAGTAGCTATGTTGGAATCTAAATTTACAGAGGAAGAAATCTGGGTTGCTGTGAAAGAATGTGATGGGAATAAGGCTCCTGGGCCGAACGGGTTCAATCTAGCTTGTTTCCAAAGGTGATGGTCCATAGTGAAGGATGAAGTTATTCAGGTGTTGAAGGAATTCCACTTAAATGGGAAGTTGGCTAGAGGTGTAAATAGTTCGTTTATTTCACTCATTCCAAAAAAGGACTACCCTGTTGGGTTGGCTGATTTAAGGCTTATAAGTTTGGTCAACTCAGTGTATAAAATTCTTGCGAAGGTTTTATCTAGACGATTGAGGCAGGTTCTTCCACAGATTATTAGTGAAGCTCAGTCCGGTTTTTTGAGTGGTCGATGTATTTTCGATGGAATTTTAATTGCTAATGAGGTGGTGCACTGGTGGAAAAAATCCAAGAAGAAAGGAGTTGTTCTTAAATTAGATTTCAAGAAAGCATATGACTCAGTGAATTGGGGGTTCTTGTGTTCCATTATAGCGACCCCGGTCTTTTCCCATTTAATTATTGTATCCGGACTGTTCCGTAGATTCTGTCATTGTATAATGGTTGTTGTTGTTATTCCTTATTTTCTCTTTTGGAATTATAGGATGTGTTGGGAAGGTTTGTTCAGGTTGGTTGGGTCTAGGAACCAAGTGTTGTTGTCCAGAATTTTGGTTATTCGCTCGAGCGAGGAGTTTGTCGCTCGAGCGAGATGTTGTTTTGGTTCTTCGCTCGAGCCGGGGGTTTGGTAGCTCGAGCGAGAGTTTGCGTCTGGGTTGGACCTGTAGCTTTGCATTCTTGGCTCGAGCGAGCTTTTCTTCGCTCGAGCGAGTTAGTTTGTTCTTCGCTCGAGCAATAGTTCCTTCGCTCGAGCGTGAGTCTGGTTTCAGACCTGAGGGTTTGAGTTCTTCGCTCGATCGAGCTTTCTTTCGCTCGAGCGAGCTTTTGGGTTGTTGGCTCGAGCAAGGCTTCCTTGGCTCGAGCGTAGATTCTCTGTGTCTGGTCGCTCGAGCGACCAAGTCTTCGCTCGAGCGAGCCTGTCATTTGGGTCGCCAGTTTTGGTGGCGGGGTATGAAGAGAGATGTGGCAGCTTTCGTATCTAAGTGCCTTACTTGCCAGCAAGTGAAGGCCGAGCATCAGAGGCCAGCGGGTTTGTTGCAACCCTTGCCTATTGCCGAGTGGAAGTGGGAACATGTTACTATGGACTTCGTTGTGGGTCTTCCGAGG